GCCACCGCCCTCACCACTGTCGCCACCACCACTGTACCCTCCACTGTCCCACTGTTTCCACCACATTCCCACTGTCCCCACACCACTGTCCCCACCACAGTCCCACTATTCCCGCTGTTCCCACCACTGTCCCCGCCGTCCCCACGAGTGCCCCCCACCAGTGTCTCGCTGTCCCCACTCTCCCCACCATTGTCCCACCACGGTCCCGCTCTCCCCACTTTCCCCACGGTCCCCACCACTGTCCCACTGTCCCCACTGTTCCCACCACTGTCCCACTGTCCCCGCCGCTGTCCCGCTGTGCTGTCCCACCGCCCCCGCTGCCCCCATCACTGTCCCACCGCCCCCACCGTCCCCACCTCTCTCCCTGCTGTACTACTGTCCCACCACTGTCCTCACCACCGCCTCCACCACTGTCCCCACCACTTTCGTCCCCACCACTGTCCCCACCACTGTCCCACTGTCCCCGCACCACTGTCCCCACCACCACCGTTCCCCCCACTGTCCCAACATCCTCACCATTATGCAACTGTCCCGAGGAGCGGGCGTCGTTTGCCGGCGGCGAGGGGGGGAGGGGCGGGGGTGGGGGTTCGAACAGGTAGTGACCCCCCCCCCGTTTTCGAGGGGGGGTTCGAACAGGTAGTGACCCCCCCCGGTTTTCGAGGGGGGAGGTTCGAACCGGTAGTGACCCCCCGCTTTTCATGATGGACTGGGAGGGGGGTGGGGGGTTCGTACCGGTAGTGACCCCCTCCCGGTTTTCGCTGGGGGAGGGACGGATTAGGAACCCCCAGTTCCCCCCCCGTTTTCCGCCAGCAGCGGTAGAACACGCTCTTTCTGATGTTTATGCTATTGATGATGGTAATGAGGATGATGGCGATGATGGCGATTACGATGATGGTAATGATGTCAATGATGATGAATAATAAGATAAGGGGTATGAAGATGATGATACTGATGTCGACGATGATGATGATGATGCTGATGATGATGATGATGATGATGATGATGACGATGATGACGATGATGATGATGATGATGATGATGATGATGATGATGATGATGATGATGATGATGATGATAATGACGATGATCACCCACCGGTGGAGCGAGCGTCGACAGTGACGACGAGGATGAGGATGGGGATGAGGATGATGATGGTGGTGACGATGAACACACGCCTTAGAAGACGGGTTTCAGGCATATCTTGCCCTCTCGGTACTTGATCAAATATTCCTCGTCGTGTGGACTGTTCTGCCAATATCATCCATCACATGTTGCGACATCTGCCGCATTATATGCCAGAGGCGAGGAGAATCAGGAGAGGGACGACGAGGAGCAGGATGAGGAGGAGGAAACACATGCTAACCCAAACCACATCAACGATGTTGCAGCAAACCCTCCATCCAAGTTCCCCTCCCCGTTAACAGGTTCCTAGAAGAATTTACTTCATTGCAGGAAGTGCCCCTTTGGAAGACAACCATCTCAGAATCCTCAATCACGCCGAGACACCATCCCTAGGATTTCAGCGCTGCGACTCCATGCGACTGAGTCCTGACAGAAACTTGCATCGTGCCAGAACACCAAGGGGAGGAAAAATAATCCTCGGGGGACCTTGTATGTCCCGTCGCGGCCCTGTCCGCGTCGAATCCGTGTCGAATCCATGTCGGACACGTCGGATCCGTGTCGAATCCGTGTGGAATCCGCGTCGAATCCACGCCAAATCCGCGTCGAGTCCGCATCGAGCCCGCGTCGGGCCCCCCCAAAAGACACCCATTTTTGGGACAGGCGAGGTCCCCCGAAGATGCAACAGAAAAAAATAGGAGATGGAGGAGGAAGGAGAGGGGGAGCAACACGTGTATCCAGCCTCGTCCAGATGGGCCTCGTCCTCCTCCTCGTCCTCCCCCTCGTCCAGAGCGGGGGACGGGCGAGGACGGGCGAGGAGGGGGAGGAGGAGGAGGGGAAAAGAAGGGGAACGGGGGCGAGGACGAGCGAGGAGGAGGAGGAGGATGGGCGAGGATGGGCGAGGAGGAGGAGGAGGAGGAGGAGGAGGAGGAGGAGGAGGAGGAGGGGGAGGGAAGGGGAAGGAGGGGAGGCGGGGGAGTAGGGGAGGCGGAGGGGGAGGAGGGGGAAGGCGGGGGAGGAGAGGTGAGGCAGGGGGGGGGGCGGTAGGAGGCTGGTTGAAGGTTCTCGGGGGGCGACGACGGGGGGCCAAGATCCCGCCCAGGGGAAACGAGCATCGCCCCCCAGGGCCGCGGCCCATAGGGCCCGCCCCCCCATTCGGGGGTCGGCAGCGGCGGGGCGCGGGGCGCGCGGGGCCCGGGCCGCAGTGGCGGGCGCCGTCCCAGACCCCCTCGAGTCATGAAAAAAACACGACGGAAGGTTTTTCGTATTTTCGGCCTCTGGGGGCCCTTACTGGCCCTCGGGACCGTCAAAAAACGACTCGGGATGAAAAACCGGTGCCAGCGAATGGGTCTGGACCTCTGGGGGTCGCGTAAAGAAAAAA